ACTGGTTTATTCTTTCTGAATACAACTTTGCGATACACTTACTTTCAACAGTCGCGCAATAACAAACGCTATAATTCACAACAAATGTCTCACGTGCTCGATTCAACAATACTCTGTCCGCATACAATTACTCATTACCCTCCTCGCCTCAGTTCTTACTGGTTTATATACAAGACTACAGTATATCTAGAAGGATCCCGAGATTTAAGGAAGGGGCGTGAATGTTCGAGAAGGACATGGCGTGATAGTAGTCACGTGACCTCCGCCGTCGCAACAATATTAAACTGTAGAATCATACCGCTAATAACAAACAACAACATACTTCTTTAAATAAAAATATAAAAGATACTATTATTCAATTTAAACGATCTAATTACAAACAACTTGGATAAAATGTTAATTATTAACTGATATTTCTTCCAAGTTACTTGTAATTCGATCATTGCCTGAAGTGGGCCTAAGGTCGAAACGTCGCAAATAAAACTAATTTAGTAAAAGCGTGGACAGAATTTTCATTGATTTAATTAAATAGTTAACTTGTCTATTTATATAAACTAACTCTACTCTTTAAAAAGTTAATATATTTACAATACCTGAAGCTTAACTGTCAACACGCGATTATTGCTAAAGAACTTCGAGCGAGAGTACTTCGCTGTGTGACATCACTACGATTGTTTAGGCCGATAGTCATCATTGTCTTACTGTACAATTAGTGTTAATATTTTATTATACTTACTATATTTGATAGGCGTAGTAAAGACTGAGCAGGGTAGAATAATTTAATTTTTAAATTTTATATAATTATTAGGAATAAAGTCTAGAATATAATGGCAAACTTTATTGCTTTACCATTAAAGAAAACATCTGAAGTAGACTTAGTTCAACCTTTGAAAAACGTTATAGCGTCTTACTTTAGCACGGCCGATGAGCCAGTTGATTGTAATGAAGCATTGAAAGAATTAAATAAACTCCGTATGAATTCTACATGGAGAACGCTGGACAAAAATGAAAACTCGTTGCAAATAATGTGCAGATACTATGATCAGATAACTGCTCTTGATGGAAAGATCACACCCTCGGATATCCAAATCCCTTTTCGATGGAAGGATGCCTTTGACAAAGGATCTTTTTTTGGTGGATATACTAGTCTTACATTGTCAAATCTAACTTATGAGAGAGTGTGTATTCTCTTTAACATAGCTGCAATGCAAAGCCAGATTGCAGCAAGCCAGGGAAATGAATTTTCTAATGATGGGGCACTTAAATCTGCAGCAAAATACTTCCAACAAGCATGTGGAATATTTCAGCATCTGAAAAACACAGTTATGTCCAGCATTCAGCAGGAACTTACACCAGATATTCAACCTGACACTCTTGGAGCTCTTCAAGCTCTCATGTTAGCAGAAGCACAAGAAAGTTTTTTCCATAAAGCAGCTGCAGATAAAATGAAAGATGCTATTATTGCCAAAGTGGCATCGCAGTGTGAAGAATTGTATGCAGATGCACTGAAACAGTTACAAAAAGAATCCTTGAAACATCTATGGGAGAAAGACTGGATATTAAATGTAGCAGGAAAACAAGCAGCTTTTCATGCTGTTGCTGAATATCACCAAGCTCTTGTTTGTAAAAGCAAGAAGGAAGTTGGTGAGGAACTAGCAAGACTGCAACATGCCAGTGAGTTGATGAAAACTGCAGAAACTCGTGGAGGGACAGCTTTTAATTTCAGCGATTATGTTGGAAGAATTAACCACTCTTATCAAGAGACTAAAAAAGATAATGATTTCATTTATCATGCTCGTGTTCCCGACTTAAAATCATTGCAACCCATTGGAAAAGCTGCACTAGCAAAACCAACGCCCTTTTCTGAGAAATTGAGCTCAAATTTCCAGGATTTGTTTAGTGCCCTAATGCCTGTCCCTGTCACTCAAGCAATTCAAACTTTTGATGTTCGAAAAACTGAGATAGTAAATCAAGAGATAGGAAAAATGAGAGAACAAACTCAAATTATGAATGGTATTCTAGCTTCTTTAAATCTTCCAGCTGCCATTGAAGCTTCATCTGGCAATACCCTACCCCAATCATTGAAAGAAAAAGCTAAAGCTGTTTCTGATACTGGTGGGATCCAAACTATTTATAAGTTAATTGAAGAGCTTCCAACTCTATTGCAGAGGAATAAGGACATACTGAATGAATCTGAACAAATGCTGAATGAGGAAGAAATGTCAGATAATCACTTACGAAACCAGTTCAAAGAAAGGTGGGCACGTACACCTTCAGAAAAACTTAACCAGCCTCTAAAAACTCAAATAAGCAAATATAGTGAAATTATAAATAATGCTGTTAAAGCAGATGCTGTTGTCAAGGAGAAATTTAATAAGCACAAGAGTTCTATTGAGCTTCTCGGTTTATCAGAGGCTGAAATTTGTAGCAGGCTATCATCTGGTGGTCCAGTAACTGCACTAGAAAACAGCCCAAGTGTTCAAGAACTGAGACGTTTGATGCAAGATGTAGAACAAATAAAATCTGAAAGAGAAGTGCTTGAAACTGAGTTTAAAAGTACCACTGTAGACATGAAAGCAAAATTTATTGATGCACTAGCTCAAGATGAAGCAATAAATGAACAGTCAATTTCTGCAGAAACTCTCAATGAGTTGTTTGGTCCATTACAAAAGAGGGTTCGGGAAAATGTTGATCAGCAGGAAAAGATAATTGCAGAGATTCAGCAGGTCAACAGCACATTCTGTCAAGAAAGGCAAAATGATCAAACCTCGTGCAATAGAGAAACAATTATGAAGGACTTGGCTGCAGCCTATGATGCATACATGGAATTGACCAACAACCTTAAAGAAGGTACCAAGTTCTACAATGACCTGACACAATTGCTTGTTAACTTTCAAAACAAGGTTAGTGATTTTTGTTTTGCACGTAAAACAGAACGAGATGAACTGTGTAGGGAACTTCAACAGAGTATTGCCAACAAACCAGTCGAATCAGCCCCTTCGCTACCCACCCATCATTCTTCTGAAAGGAAGGAACTACCAGCAAGACCACCACCTCCACAGGCCTCACCTCAAAATTCATTTATACCTGTTTCAGCTCCATATCCTGTTCAGGGTAACGTGCCACAGCCACAAGCTCCATCTTGTATGCCTTATCCACAGTACCCACACTATCCTGGTTATGCAACAGTTCCTATGCCTGGAGGTTACAATCCTTACAGCTATGGTCAACAACCTGGTATGGCCCCTGCCTATCCACCAGCTCCAACTAGTTACCCACCCTTTGGTCAATATCCAAGTTATCCCCCATACTCTGGAAGTTATCCATATCCCAACCAGCCCTGGAATCCACAGTGAGTTGGGAAATTTTGTTAATTAACACTTAAAAGATTTTTGGAAAAATATTATGTAGTCCAATACATTTGTCTTCAGTAAAATATAGAAAAGTAACAGTTTTTTAGAAATAGGGTTTCTTCAATGATTACACAGTCTTTAATTGAATAAGCAGTGCTTACTAATAACAATTAATGTGAAATTTATGCTTATCAATATACACACACACACACATATTGACTAGTTTTGTTTGTTAATATTGAAGTGTTTTAAAAGAAAGTTTGTGATATGAATTGGTTGGTGTGTTAACAGGATTTAAATACTGACGAATAAATTTGTCGTACATATCTTTTATGATTGCTTAATTTGTTTTAGATTTAAATATTAATTTAATGAAAGAAAATTTCAATAAAAAAAGGTATTTACAGAGTGTAATTTATCACAATGGCATTGTTTTTAGTTTTTATCATACTGGAGGCTTACAGAATGATCATGCAGGGCATTAATTAACACAGCATTCAAAATAAGGCCTCGTAAAATTAGTAGATTGATTCTTACATATGTTGAGTACTTTGTGTAGGAAAATAATAAAAGTTTCACTCAAGTAAACTTGGTGTTGAATGACATTTAAAAAAAGTACCTTTAAGATGAAAAGTTTGATTTAAAAGTTAATCCACCACCAAGAAAAAAAACTTGTTTTTTTAAATTTCTTACCCATAATTCTGAATCTTGTTTGTTATGTTACTTTTCAGTTATTTAGGAATCCATTCATTATACAAGTTTATATTGCCCTTGGTGTTACCAGTTATGGTAATGTTTGAGAGGTGTAAATCAACTAATTGAAACCTTTATCAACCATATTGTTTCTATTAGATGTTTGGATGATATTCAAAAATCTCTCTCTGGCCCAAAATTTCACATATTAACTATTAAAAAGGTAGAATAAATTGTGTCACAGAAAGTTGTCTCTGATCTTTATTGATTCAAAATTCAGGTTTAATATATTTAATCTCTTAATCCCTTTAAACTTTTCAGGTTATCCTTAATCTTCATTTCTTTAAAAGGAAATTAAAATTATCATATAACTATAAAATGTTAAACACATTTCATTGATTTCTAATTGACACATTTATAAAAAATGTAGTAAATAAACATTTATTAGTGACTTCATATTTAGTTCGTATCTGTGTTGGTAGCTTGCTTTGATCAAAAGTTATTAAGTGATATTTTTTCTAGACCTGGTTTTTATTTTGAATGAAAGATCTTGTTAATAATTTCAGTTTTTTGTACATGATAATAAGTTTGTATCATAGTTAAGAGTAAGAAGAGAATCTTAATATGAAACCTAGTGTAATTTATTACTGTGGTTTTTGTTAACGTAGTCTAAAATTATAGGTTTATATGTAACAGAGTAAGTTGAAGTATTCGGTACATGTGCATATAATTTTGTATTTTGTTACATATAGAAAATAAAAAATCCTTAAACTAATCATTAAATTTATATCTGCTATTGTGTGTCAGAATAATATTACAGTTTTCTTCAAAAAATAGCCCACAAGACTGCTTGACTCTGTAGGTTTACCTCATTTTTTTTAATGTAAATATCTGTAATATTTCCAGTTCCTCTGCATCCAACTAAGTTTTGAAATATTCTTTACAGTTACTGTCCTAACTACACAGTAAAAAAAAACAGTGTACTTGTATATTACTAACAATGTACAATGATTTGGCTCATGGGAACAAAGCTACATCCAACAATCCATAGTATTTGTCATATTATATTAAAAAAGAAATATTTATATTTTATATAACTGTTGCCAATATCCATTATGTATATATTCACAAGTTTTTAATCTGTTTTACAAAGTCAAATTTTTTATTTTATTCACAACTTTTCACGGGATTTACCAGTCATCATCAAGTTTATTTACAACCGATAAAAACTTGTGTGAATTTTAAAAACAGTTCTTTATAATATTTAATTAATGTTACATATGTATTTAAAAGAAAAGTCAAATAACTTTCTCTCACTTGCATTTTATGTTCTTATAAGCAAGATTTAAAATCAAGTTAAGACTCAATCCCAGCAACATTATTAATATATTTATTTAATAATTACTGAATAATGTAAAATTTTCCTTAATCACTAATGGCTTTTCACAGAAATTTACTTTCTATCTGAAACTGCAAGTGTTTCCAGAAATGTGTTATTTAATCACATGATTAACAAAGCGAGTTACCTTCACCAAAATAATACTCAAAAAGTGAAATCCAATCAATCAGATTTCTCTGTAAAAATTTGTTGATACTTTAAACATTTAGAGGTGTACATAGGTCTTCCTCTTTACACAAAATTTTAAGAATATCATGGCTGAGGTTTGAAGATTTCTTTAGAAAATAAAAATTGTCACATAAGATAAAATAATCCAGCACATATAAAGTAATTAAGTCAGTTTTAACAAACACTTTTAGAATATTTCTTGGAATGTTTTTATATGGGTAGCTAAAACAACCTATGAATTATAAAGACAAATATAAAAATGAACATTTTTTTTTTCAAACTATTATTGTGGACTTTGTTAGGTGTGCTACTTTGAGTTTTTATCATGTTTGTATTGATTTTTTAATCGTCATAGTAGTGTTTATATTATTATAAACAGCATGATATGTCCATAAAGGTGAGGTGATGTTTCAAAAAATGTGTAACATGCTGTGTAAGTTTAAAATTACCCTATATGTGAGGTCATGGTATTAAATTTTGATGATATGATAATCGTTCAATAAAAAGACAGTGGTTGTTACTATACCACAGTATAATGATTTAATAGAGCAAATACTATATATATATATATATAAAACATAAGTATGTTAAGAATAGCTGCTTAATAAGAAACATTGTTTTTGTTAATTTCATGCGTGACTTGTTTTTTTTTCTAATGTAACTTTAAAGTCTGAAAACCTATCATATAGACCTTAGTGTAACTCTCAAGTGAAGAAAATGGAACTCCAGCCCGCACGTGATTAACGTAGTGAGGTGGTGGTTTCCATTTCTGACGCACGGTTTGCATAAACATGGGGGTCAAGAGGCGTGCATGTTTTGGATTATCGTAGGTCATTGGTCCCCAATTATTTCTGGATGAAGGTCGCTTAATAATAACTAGAAAACTACGGGCGACATAGGTGAATAGCTTAACCAATGCCACTCCATAAAGGATGTATATTGAATATAAGTACATCTCTGGATTAAACTATTCTAGATCAACTTTTAATAAAGGGGTGTCGGAGTTTGAGGTACAGGATTTCTGAGGCCGGTCGTGGTTAACTAAGATCGTGTTTGAAACACTGTGCTGGATAACTGGCAATCCGTTGCCATTGGTTACTAGCCTCGAACTAGAGACCTAGAGTTTTATTTCGTACATTGCAACGTCATTTAAGTCCACCTGAGATTGTATTTAGTTAAACCTGCAGTACTCTATTTTATTTTGGGGGGGGGGGTAAATAAGATCTTAATTTTACAAGAGGGAATCCTCAATAGTCATGGCTGTAATTAGATCTCAAATCGATCAAGATATGGAACTATGAGCTAAAATTTGTACTTGAAAAAAAACTCGGAGCCATTCTATGAGCCGCGGCTAAAAAATACTGTTCTGTCCAAGATTCTGCTTTGATGAAAAATAGTTTGTGCCTAATTTTATTATATTGTCGTAAGTATATGACGTCTATGCGTGTTATTAAAAAAACAACAACACTGTATTATATTACATTTTAAACTATCTCGGTTGCAGTGTACTCTGTCGTGTTTACCATAAAGGCGGACGTGGTACGCTGGTTGTTTCTAACCCCAGGGACCCTAATGGGCGTATTTTAATAAGGGTTTTTGCACACTGGATTCAGTGATATATTATTTTGTAGGGTTTTCCTCAATATAATATAAATAAATTAGATATAAACATGTTGATAGTTCGTCATATTTCAATATTTACCGTAGTGCCTAAAACATACAAAATGACTGGTCATGGAAGGGGACGTATACAAAATTAAAACCGTTATGAGCGAATTTTACTAACTTTGGTTAGGCTTTTAACACTTGTTGCATTCAAAATATGTTGCATATTAAACAACGGTTCTCGCCAATGAACTAGAATCGAACATTAACGCTGGTTTTTATTTTTTTTCTTGTTGCATTTGTTTTTCAAAATTACAACAATTCATTGTAAAACGAAGTTGGATTAATTTATGTTAACGTTTTGAAAACACGTTAATAGATTGTTTTGAAGTTTTAAATATATGTCCATGCAGAATTATTGCTTTTTAAAGGAAATTGAAAACGTGTATATATTGAAAAAGTGAGAGATAAAATGATGAATATCGTTCTTAGTGTTTTGGAAGACATTTATACTTAATGATGATTCTACAAATGCGTTTTGTTTCTGTGGTCCAAAATTAGCTTTCCTATATTAAAATTTACTAACTATTGAAATACAACCATACAGTTTTCAACGTTATGTAGCCCAACTCAAACAGTTTTTTGACGCGTTAGTTCACGTTCTCTGCAACGTGTCAACAGGTACTATGATGTCCTTATCCTGGTCTTTAGCTGCGTGATGTTTGCTATGGGTGTGTGATACACGATATCCTTAACATACCCCCCACACTTGTTTCCTGTAATGGCGTCTGTAATTACGCTGCACCACAGACACTGACTTGGTCTCTGCAAGCCAAACGATGCATTGAGCCTTTTCTTGCACGGTAGCCATTTTACGGGGAAACACTATTCACTGGAGTAGAAAATAAACATGACAATAAAAGCTGAGTTGGGCTAAAAATGTTGAGAATTGCACGGTCGTATTTCCTTAGTTATTTAATTATTAAATTTTAAAATAGAAAATATAATTTTGGACCACCCTGCTTACATATTACTTAGTGTATGATAACATATTGTTCAGTAATTTCTAGCAAGGTACTTATTACATGTATTCGTATTATTAGATATTTCTAGTAAATTCTCATTTTCTTCTTTAAAAAAATCCACTGTTGTATGAACATTTTTTGTGGAACAACGATGATGAATATATATTCATAGATACTTTGATTTCATTGTTTTAGGAGATAAAGAATTAGTCGATAATTCGAAGTTTGCAGAAACGTTCAATCCTAAAAATGTACGTAAATCACAAACATTCTGAAGACCAGAAGAGTTTGCATCATTATTGTTTTTAAGATAACAATGTAATATTTTAATAGTATTTCTATTGATTTTTTTGTCGTATTATGATTTTGCTCAGTAAAGAAATTAACTTTCTTTTTATCTATTTAGAGTTTTATTTTTGTTTAATTCTTGTAAACGATCAGTTATTTACAGTGTATAATATTATTCAAATCAAAACTGTATAAAATAAATTTGTGAAAAACAAAACTGGCGTCTGTAATATCATTGACGTTAAAACGCTAATGTTATATTCAGTTGATGGACGTTAACATGAATGGTAACGTGGGTGCAAATACGGATAGATCACGAGCCGAGCACGTAATATTATAATCGTTTCATATCCCAAGAGATTCATAATGGTTAAACTCTTTATATTCTTGCCTGATTTCACACTAATTAGTGTTAAACTCTAGATTTAAGTAATTTATGTCTGGTATTTTCAAGAAGGAAGTATTTTAATATAACATAATGTTTAGGGACAACAAGGGACTTATTGATCCATCTCGGCTGTTCCATCCTCTAAACCAAACTAAAACTATTAAAAAAAAATTAAGGTCAGCTCTTATAATTCATATTGTTATCAAGCTTTCTGTTAAACTCACTTAAATTTACTGCCTCTACAACATCCGAAGGCAACCCATTCCAGAGGCCAATCACCCTGTTAGAAAAATAAAACTCTCTTAGCTGAAGATGACTCCTACCTTGCCAAAATTTCTATCTGTGTCCCCTAGTCTGACCATTCTCACCATTAAGTACGAAAAAAGGGTGATGCATCAACACTATCAATTCCCTTAGCAGTCTTAAACACCTCAATCAGATCCCCTCTAACTCTTCTTTTTTCAGAGATCTTAACCTATCCTCGTATGACAACCTTTCCATCCCAGTTATCATACCGACTTTAAGTATGAAAAAAAAAAGATATATCAATATTATCGATACCCTTTACGATCTTAAACACTTCAATCAGATCCTCTCTAAGTAGATTTGAAATTTGACATGACGTTATGTGTGTACCATAAAAATAATAAAATGCCATGAAACACATTGTCTTGGGAAAAAATACTTAAACTTGTTATAATGAAATGAAAACCGAGTAAGAACTAAAGTTATCTTGCTTGAGTAAGACAAATGAAGTTCCATAAATATTCAAAAGGCGGCTCAGCTATAAGTCTGGGGGCTTATAATGCTAAACATCAGGTTTCGATACCCGCGGTAGGCAAAGGACAGTTCACCCATCGTATAGCTTTGTGCTTAACAACAAGCAAACAAACTGGATAAAAGCAAAACAGTGTATCACAAAATATTATTGAATCGTGCACAATTCGGTTAACATGAAAATTAATAAAAAAGTAAAAAACAAACAGAAGTTACAACCCTGATCTGCTATATTGTGGTAGAACGAACACGTATGATTTAAAAGTAATCAGATGTAGCTGAATTGATGATTTTAGTAAAATATCTGTGCTGAATCATTTTCACTTATTACAACAACAAAAAACACATTTCGATACTATTCGGTTTGGAAATGACCTCGTGGTTTTAGTTAAACAAATTACATCGGTGTTATTCTTACTTTTAAGCATAAACAACCCAAGTATGAAGACGACATTTTCTATGTTTTAGGTATTCCTCGGTGGTATGTGGGTGTAAAGCCGGTCATTAAAAGTAATTGACACATCTGTGACATTAAAACTATCAGTAAACAAAAAAAGTTGCTGGTGTATATCCATAAGGATGTAAGGACAGTGGTACCTTGGAATATTATTGTACGTGTATGGGATTTAGAATACACGGGGAATGGATTTCCAAGGTTTTGGAGAAAAAAATTGTTATTGTAGAGGTCTCTATCCTTAGTCTACATCGGATACTGAAAAACTGCCTATTTTGAGCGAGAACTGATGTGTAGTAGGCAGGATGTGATAAGCTTATAATCGAAAGGGTGTAGGAACTAGGACTGCTGAGGATACAGCAAAACACCTGGCTTTACGTAAGAGGGTGTTGTGCATGCGTGGTTCCCCGTCATATACAAGGGTTTTGATTTTTTCAATGGTTTTCAGCTCCCAGCTACCAAAATTGTTTTTTTCCAGTGTCAACTGATTTGGTCGGTTTCAAAAGTTTTCTCGTATACTATCAAAAATGCTGCAAAGGTATAGCACTACATGGCCCATGGAATATTTCAAAAGTGCAAAGTTTTGCCCTTAAATGTTGCTCCAGCGTTTTACTAAGACCTTTAGTAATTCTCTCTTCTTCTTCGTTTTTTTTCTACTGGTTATGCATTGAAAACTTGATCTCCGAATATTTCAAATCAGGTGTAGATAGTACTGCTATTGCAATATTTGTTCTCAGTAGAATCATGCTTCGTTTATTTCACATATAACCTTGTATTTATCTTGCCCGTTGGTGCGAATCTAAGGATTCACAGGTCGCGTCCCATAGCAACAAAAATGCATTACGCATTTTGGGACTGTGAATGAGCATATAAAATTAACGGTCAAACTCCACTGTCTCCCGATAGGACAGCAGTAAGTCTACGGACTTACAGCGCTAAAATCCGGGATTCGATTCCCCTCGGTGGACACAGTAGAGAGCCCGATGTGGCTTTGCTCTGAAAAACAAACACAAACAAATTACACTATTTGGACAAACAAGAGTTGGCGGAGGGTGTTATTGACTAGCTACTTTATCTATATAGTCTATCAGTTCAAAATTGGGACGACTGTGCCCAGATAGCCTTTATGTAGGTAATAATGAAAAGAAACCTATAGCAATTAATTGTATTTCAAATATTGGGCAAACACTAAAACTTTAAACAAATTGACAAACACTGTAAAAAAACTATAGAACAAATACTTGGAACGATAAAATTTCTGCCTAGTATATATTAAGAAGTTTTTCTTATATCAATTTTTATTATTTACTGAAAGTGTGATCGTACAACGTTAATCCTACTCGGTATGTTACAGCCCACATGGTATATCTTACCAACTGCTATAGACAGTAGATAATATTGTTACGTATAACATGTTGTTTTGTATGTTTATTATGCTACTTTAAAATCTTTCGTATGTCATGATGCGTTTGGAAGAACTGACAGTAATATTGTCAGTTTTTTTTCTTGGTTGAAATGAGTTTCCGGTAGATGGCAATAGTTTTGCATGCTTCACCAAGTTCTTGGAGCACTGAGTCGACAACATAAAGCTCCGCCCTTAGTCTCTCAAACCTTAAAAGTCTCGTGTTTCGTCTGACACGAACACTCACATCTTGAGTACAGCGAGTGCAAAATGATGACGTTTTATTTGATCCCGTATCTTCTTGTCGTGACGACGCTTGCATTACCAGTCAAAGAAATTCCAGATGCGAATCTTAAAGTATTTCCCACAGAAGATGAAGAAATCAGAGACGTTCCCGCCATTCCTGAGGGCGGTGAAATATCTCTTGAAGAAAAGTGGGGCCCACCGGAAGAGGGAGACAATATACTGAAAAATGAAGAAGATATATTAGAGGAGGGGGATGAAGAAGATCCATTAGAGGAGATGGATCTCAACACTGATTTCCAACCAGTTTTTTTACCTACCGACTTTGAGAGTTACGATAAAGATGGCAATGGTTATATTGAACATTTTGAATTCATTAAAATGTTTGATACCGCAGAAGAAAAGACTTTCGAGTTATTCAGTGATACAGACATAAATGGTAAGTAATTATAACTTGTTTTTAATAAACAGCAAACTTAATATTATTTAAGAAAAACGCGGTATTAAACTTACGATCTAAATCAATAAATTCGTGAACGTTTTGTGCTATATAGTGATAACAAAAGAGGTTCTTATGACACAAAATTATTTGCAATAAAGTTTAGATCCACAGGTTTAAACTGTGACCAAAGATATTGCTGTCAATTAAAACAGGGGGAGTATAGAAGTACTGAATTAATGAAAATATTAATTTTGTTCAAAAGAGTATTTTCATATCTTTTTTTTTCTCTCCATAGATGGCTAACGTTTTACCCGTTATTAAACAATTTATCAGCTCATGTTATTCAACTATGAGTAATTCATTTCATTTAGCAAAATATATATTAAAAGATAGATGTTAACTCTTTGTGACCTAAAAAAGCGTTAATAAATAAAGTAGAAGTGTTAACACATGCTACTACTTAACATATTTGTCACCTGATGAAAACGTGATGCTAGGATATAAGAACCTCTTATATGGGGTTATTAACGTTTTGTTTGTTAAAACAGAAAATATAGCTCTTTTGTTCCCCTGGTGACATGTAGGTAATCAGCAGTTATAAGATATCATTCACAGAAATTTTAAGTAGAGTGAAGACGCTTCGCTCATTTACTGTTAAATATGTTTTGCATGTGTGTTTAGTTTTTGCATGTCTTTCCAACCCTTCTTTACATATGCGTCTATTAGTCGAATAATCTGTTCAGAAGGTTACTTGTCATCGCGTTTAATGTATAGGAAACTACATATTAAAACTATATACAATCACATGGCAATATGTAATGGCAGTTACAGTATCGAGTGTACAGTGTAAAGCAAAGATAGATGTCAACCGGCAACCAACCAATCAAAGTATGGAATAATAATTTAAAATGATCGCTGAATATACCACTCTTGTGAGAGATTCCAACACGTGCTTAGGTGTCTCAAATGCGTGAATTGAGGAAGCAAAATTAAGCTATTCAAATGAGATACAATGTAGTTTTAGCAAAGCTTATACTATTCTATGTTTTTGTGAAATACCGAATGAAGAAGAATACAAGAAACTTAAGATAAAGCCCTTATATTTTATTCTTCTGTTTTTGACGTGAAACAGAAATATAGATACGAAATGAAAAATCGTGCACATTGGACTAAGA